TATATATATATATATGAAATGACAGGAGTAAATAGATGTTTCATCAGCTGATGATCAGGAAGAAGGTTGTTGATGATTGATTCAACAGTCACTCCACTTCATGTCAATAGAAAACATGAACCCAAGAAAATGTAGAGTATAAGATTTAATGCCACAAAGGATGTTACAATGATATTGCAAATGGTATGCTAATGTGAAAGAACAGTTCTTTAGATTATATATATATATATATATATATACACACACACATACACAGACACATATATATCTCTTAAAAAGATAAAAATGCTGATTGAAACACTACCGCAGTTTTGAGCGCCAAGATCTCATCGGGTGGCTTTGTTCAGCGAATCAATCAGAAGCAATGCAAGAACTTATTGGAGCTTTAGGGAAAAAAATAACAGAAGCCTGCTCATTAAATGGAGTATTTTACGGAATGTAAAGGCTAGCAAAGTGAATGGCAGGAGAAGAAGCTAGCTATTGCAACATAGAAGGCTGGCACTGAGGTGTTCAATGGAAGATCTGAGATCATGTCCAAATCTAGACACATCAGGAGGTTAACTTTGGGGCTATACAAATGTGGATAAAGTTGGAAAAAAAAATTTTTTTTTTTCTCACTCCCTTCACTTTATTTTTATTTTATTTTTTTAGCTTTGTTTCCCCTCCCCTTCATTTATGCCACTACAACTCCCCCCACCACTACTACCAGTGTCAAATGAAAGCATTTAAGTTTTTGCATTGTCCCTGATTGATTCACTGAACAAACCACCTGATGAGACCTTGGCAGTCGAAACCTCAGTAGTTTTCCTGTCAGCATCTTTATCTTTTTAAGATATTAAATTGCTGTGCAAATTTGATTTTCCTACTTCAAATTGAGCACTTTTTAACATGTACAATTTTAACAAATATTTCAGTGTTTGTTTAATTCAGTGTATATTTAATTTTGCGTGCTGTATATGATTTTATCAACTGCACAATACAGTAAGGTCAGTTGGGCACGGTTTGTGAGAAAAAGAGCACCATGACACAATTCACTCTGCCAAAAATTTGGAAATGGCATACTGTACTGCTTGGCCAGAAGCTCCAATACAAACATTTCAAAGTGTTTGGGTGTCTAAGGACAGTGCAAGGGATTCAGAAAAAGTTGGATAAGTCTATTGATGATTACGAACATATAGCAGCTCGGAAAATAGTTATGAGAAGAAAAGAACACCCGAATTTATTGGTGAGGGCCTCAGATTGAACACAAAGGCCTACTTCAAGTGCCTTGATGAGGTAGTGCTGCCCTGGGTCAAGAGGGTGGCTGTTGGAAGATGCTATATCTGGCAACAGGACTCTGCACTATGCCACACAAGCAGGAGAATCCAGTCATGACTGTCAGACAATTTTTCTGATGACATCACCCCTTACATCTGGCCACCTAACTTCACAGACTGCAAAACTCCTTGTAACACCAAAGATAAACCGAAGACAAGGATTATGGCAGCATTCAGCAGTCCAGAAGAGTTGAAGAGTATTTCAAAGTTTTCTGGAGGCCATGCTTGAAGCCAATGGTGATTTTATTGAATAAATTTATTCTTTAGTATTTAAAGATATTTTTGTGTAATTTTGGCAAATATATCTGTTAAAAGGATATGCCAGTGATATATATATATATATATATATATATATATATATATTAGTGTATGCATGTATAAATACACACGCACACATTTATTATGTACATACGTATATACAAATACAACTACTAATAAGAAGAATAAAATTCAAAGACAGCAATAAAAAATATGTAAAAGGTTACTAGAATTTTGAAGTATTTTTAAGCTAGCAGGATATCTGCCAAGATGCACTCAACAGATAACGAGTGCTATAATATTCAATAAATCAATAAATGTTCATTAGACTTGCCTCATAGACCGACTCCAGAGTTTTGTATCAAATTATTCATCTGAGTCAGATGCTTAATAAATTTATTGAAATTATCATTAGCTCTCATATTGATACTTCTTGGAACAAATGCCAATCATAAATTTCAAACTTGAAAATATATGTTATATTTTTAACAAAACTAATGTGGCAAGAATTTTAATTTTGTTCTCAGGGGTATAAATATAAGATCTATAGGTTTAAAAAACATTAGACCCTGACATAAGCGTTTCGATATTAGACAACTCTGATGTTAGATAAGTCCCTCGGAAATTTACAAATTTTTGGAAAAAAAAAAAAAATTATATATATATATATATATATATATATATATATATATATAGGTACCTCCACGAGATCGCTAAAAAAGAGCATAGCATGATGAAAAAAAAAGCCAAACTTGACGAAAAAAACAAAATTTTATCGTCTAAATGTTTGTTATTCATTAAGAGGAAAGGTCAAAGTATTTTTGGGGTATTTTTTTCCATTTTTTAATCGTTCCTAGCACGTCCGAAATTTTCGTTAAAAATCTAGTTTTTTTTGAGTCAGCAAAATTGACCATTTTTTTCCATTT